AAAAAAAAAAAAGGAAAAAACCTATTTAAAAAAATATATCTATTTTTTCTGCTTTTATTAAAAAGCAAATTTATTTAAAATAAAATATACAGAGACTGTAAGTTTGAAGAGAGGATGAGTTTATTTCCCTGTGTCCCCTCTCGGGTCACTGGGGCAGACCCCCCCCTACTCTGGGGACACCTTGGGGACATCCTGGGGTGGCTGTGGGGCAGCAATTCCCATTTGTGGGATCCAGAGAGGACGAGGAGCATCCCAAAGCTCCCATCCCTCCCTTCCCAAAGCCACCTCCTGCTGTCCCCAAAGGTGCGACCCGGCCGCGATTTTATTTTATTTAAAAAAAATAAAAATAAATAATAATAATAATAATAATAATAATAACAATAAAAACCAAGGAAACCAAACCTTAATTAATTACTTAATTTTATTTTGGTTATTATTTTTCATAAACACTTCATAAAGCAGTGACTTGTTAACCCGGGAAGGATTTGCATCGGGACGAAATAAATCTATTTATGCATTTGGGGAGGGGTGGGACGGGAGGGATTTGGTTTTCTGGGATATTTTCCTAGCGGTAGAGAAATAAAAATATCTATGAAACAACGATGTTTTTCTGGTTTTTGTTTTTGTTGTTTTTTTTTTTTTCCAGGAATGAGCTTGGATATGGGATTTAATGTCGGGTTGGAGAAACAGGAGGTGATGGGGATCAGCTCCTCCTGCCTCTCCCGGGATTTTTTTGGGATTTGTTTTCCCACTGGGGTTGGTTTTGGTGCTTGTGCAGGGACAGTATTCCCATCCCCTGGCGGTTTGTGGGATAAATGTTGGGAATGGTTGGGTTTGGGTGGCTCTGGGGTGACACAGGTGACACAGGTGACACAGGTGACACACGGACCCCACGCTGGCTCTGGAGGAGCCGATATTCCCACCCCGACCAGCCGATCCCATGAGCCTCGACATTCCCAAAACTCTGATGGAGCAGCTTGGGATCCGTGGGATCCGTGGGAAATCCACGCGAGCTGTGACTCCTGGGGACACTGCAGGGACCTCTGCTGTCCCCTCGGTGCCACTCGGCCACCCCAAGGAAGCCACACTCTCCTGTTTTCCCTGTTTTAGGGATCCATCCCAGGAACTCGTTCCACTGGGACAGGGAGAGCGGGACTGGCAGGGTCTGGTGGCCACAGGCCACCGTGTCCCCCTGAAGCCACCATGTCCCCCTGAAGCCACCGTGTCCCCTCTGGAGTCACCGTGTCCTCTCTGGAGCCACCACATTCCCCCTGAAGTCATCGTGTCCCCCAGAGCCACCATGTCCTTCTTGAAGCCACCACATCTGCCCTGAATCCACCATGTCCCCTCTGGAGCCACTGTGTCCCTTCTGGAGCCACCATGTCCTTTATGGAGCCACCATGTCCCCCTCTGAAGCCACCATGTCCCCCCTGAAGCCACTGTTTCCCTTTTGGAGCCACTTCATCCCCCCCTGAAGCCACCGTGTCCCCTCTGGAGCCACCATGTCCCCTCTGAAGTCATCATGTCCCCCTTGGAGCCACCATGTCCCTTTTGGAGCCACCATGTCCCCCAAAGCCACCGTGTCCCCTGAAGCCACCGTGTCCCTTTTGGAGCCACTGTATTCCCCTGAAGCCACTGTGTCCCTTTTGGAGCCACCATGTCCCCCAAAGCTACTGTGTCCCTCGAAGCCACCGTGTCCCCTGAAGCCACCGTGTCCCTTTTGGAGCCACCGTGTCCCCCCGAAGCCACCGTGTCCCC